ATTTGCATATAGGCAAAAACGCATAAAAACGACTGGGCTTCATGCAAAAAACTGATAATCATGTACTTGGAGGTGCATGCGGTTTTGTAATATAACACTTTCATCTCAAACGACGCCCTCTCTCCTGCATACCGGGAGAGGCCAAAGCAGGGCCAGTATGCGCCCAACTGTTAGGCTACAGCACAGGGGTCATTCCTGCTAGTAGCGACGAATTTAGTGCAAAAACGCATGATCGTTCACATACCCTCACTTTTTCTTTTCAGATCGGCAAAAGAAACCGTTGCAGCTGCAGCCTTGAACAAAGACCTGGCACAGCAAAATACGGTAACTCGATCCACTTCCACATCGTCTTCATCAGTTTCTGTGTCAAAACGTTCAAAACCATCAAAAAAAAAAGGTTTTCTTCAGAATTTGAAAGTTCTTTACATAGGAAATTATTTTCAAGCAGTGTATGATAGATTTTTCTCATCGAACAATCACTTCTTAACATTTTCATTTTAACTATAATTCCTCTGAGTAAAAAATAGATTTGCCAATATGCTGGATTTAAAAACTATCAGAGCTGTGCACTGTCTTTCCGCCCGCGTCGCCTCTTTTACTGAATCATCTTAAATGTGCCTTTTTACGTGGTCTTTCCAGACCGTACGTCACTAATCCACTTCTGTTATAAGACACTAGATCTGCACTGGATCTGTTTACTCTACTCTAGATTACACAGAAGTTTGAAAGCTGTTGAACGAAAATTGACTGCTATCACTTTTCATATTATATATGAGCTCATGCAAATTTCCTGAGCATGTAATTTACATCAAAACATTGAGAATCCGTGAAATTTTTGCAGTCTGCTAGCCTTTTCATGTCTTCCGGATTGAAAACATCAACGCATATCTCCTTCGTTCAAGTAAACACATCGGCGACTTTTTGGAGTCTGCACCTTCTTCTGAAAGGTCGTTCAAAAAGATGTCCGATGTTCTTTTTCACCGTCGTTTTCGATGTGTTGAATTTTTCAAGACACAATTTTTAGTTCAAAACTTCAACTGCGCCTTGTTCACTGTCCACAATTTTCGGCACTGTCGAAAAATAATTGAATAACAAAATATAAGCATGGGAAACGAAACAATAGATATAGAAAAGGAAAGAGCAAAAAAACAAATTTAATGTTAAAATACATTCAAAAACAAACATTTTCACGAAAGTGTTTGAAAACAAAAGATCTGCTTGAGACAGTTTCATCTTTCCGAAGGCAAAACTCTCAAGATTAAAGAAAATGTTTATAATGCTTCGTACTGAATTGCATTCGCTTTTTATTATGCAGAATTGTTCATGTCACGTTTTTTTTTGTAGTGAAAGTGGATAGAAATCCATCAGTAATACTTGCTGCGCCTCCCGAATTCTCGTTGGCTACTGAAGATCAACGGGTATCACCGACACCAGTCGTTGAACGCGCACCCACACCGATACCAGTTGCTGAAATACAAGAATCGGACAACGACAACGACATCAGCGAGGGCTAGTGCTTTTAGCAGTGAATTGCAAAACTTTTAATTACGTGAAAAGTAACCAATTATAAAGAAGCGGAACAGCTAGTCGTAAAATAAATAGCGATGCGCACCAAAGAATTCACATCAAATAATGCATTTTGCACAGTTATATTCAGCAGGCATTTGCTATTCAGAATGTTCACTACCTTAAGATTTGAAATGTACATAAATTTTCGAAGTGTTATTTGTTTTCCGAGCTGGATCTCTTATCAAGAATTTCACGTATCCGCAAATTAACTGGCTGGAGGCCGATTTAAATTTCCGTCAAAAAAAGAGCCAAAAAGAGTCAAAAAAATTAAATAAGTACAACCTCCAAAAATTTTTTCCTCCTTGTTTAGTCCCCGACCTAGAGAAATGCTAAGAATTCACGTTTAAAATTTCACGGCCTCGTACGCGAGCTACAGGCTTACATGGAGGCTCAATTTTAATCCCATAGGGTCGCATGTTCGCACGAAACACCTTGCCTGTTCTGTCAGCTAGGAAATTTCGCACGTGATATTTCACGTGTCCGAACGTAAGACGTCGATGTGCTTGAAAATGTCCGAATGTAAGACGTCGATGTGCTTGAAAACGGAATTTGAATTTGCAGCGTTGTAAATTGATAAAAACAACCTTCTGAAATGTCAGTTTTTATATGTTTTCGCTTATATGCAAGTGCAAAAACGCATTTTTGATGAACCCGGTGTGTGTGTGTGTGTGTGTGTGTGTGTATGTGTGTATGTGCGTATGTGCGTCCGTGTAGATATTTCTACTCGGCATCCAAGCAAGCTCCAGCGCCAAAATTTCGCCAGTGGGTTCCTCGGCCGAATACCAACCCTCACGCAAGTCTGGGCCCCGCGTACGAAGGGATGAAAGTTTTGGCGGGAAAGTCGCTAACTCGGGAACCAGAAAAGCTAGAAAGCTGAAATCTTGTGGTTATGTTCCCCGTCTCCACAGAACTCAAAGATTTCAAATTCAGCCCTCAGGCATGCGTGGTTCCCGCGTATGGCCCCGTGAAGGTTCCTGGCACGGAAATCGCTAACACGGGAACCGGAAAAGCTGGGGAGCTGGAGTTTTCAGGGAATGTTCTCGGCACATGTACAACTTAAAATTGCCAAATTCAGCCCCAAATTATATGTGGTACACACGTACGGCCCTTTGAAAGTTTTTGCCGGGAAAATGGCTAACTCGGGAATCAGGAAAGCTGGGAGGCTGAAATTTTTAGAAAATGTTCCCAACACATTTACAGCTTAAATTTAACAGAATCAGTCCTCAGGCATCCGTGGTTATTACGTACGGCCCCGTGAACTTTTTTGGCGCGAAAATAGCTAACTCAGGAGCCAAGAAAGCTGGGAGACTGAAATTTTCAGGTAATTTTCCCAGCAGAAGTGCAACTTGAAATCATCAAATTCAGCCCCTCAGTGCGAGTGTTTCTCACGTACGGCCCCGTGAAATTTTTTGGTTCAGAAATGACGAACTCTGAAACCAGAAAAGCCCGGAGGCTGAAATTTTCAGGAAATATTCCCAACCCGTGTACCGCTTGAATTTATTAAACTCAC